TTCTTAGATGGATGACATTTGCCCCACTTGTGGAACAACTATATCTGTTGATAGCAACAGAAGGGAGGCGGACGAGAAGACATGCCTCGGAAGAAACGGCCATGCTGCAAATGTGGGTGGTAATGGAATCAGGGGTCAGAATCGCAACAACATCGGCAGAAATGCTGGAAATGGCATATATGCGAGAAGGCAGAGGGATGAAAATGCAAACAACTAACCAACTCGTGCTAACAGTTTAACATTAAGATATTCCGCTGAGACTGATATCGAAAACCCTATAATGCGTTTCGGTTGGTAATTGTTGAATTGTTTCGTTCTTCTGTTAGAATCTAAACCTGAAATTGGTTGTTGCATTCAAGTTTTAGTATTGATGGAGATTGCAGTGGAACTTTCCTTTTCTGACCTAGGTGGTGAATCTGAAATGCTAATGGAAACTTTGTTACTCGGCTGAAATCTATTTATCTAGTTGGCCCAATTAAAGATTCCTTTCACACGTATTTTGTATTCGGCCATCACTTTCTTAAATCAATTTTAAACTTGTTTTAAATTGGATTAGTGGGATTAGAGAAAATTAGAGATTTCATGTTTTATCACTGTTCATAACAATAATGCACGTGTAACTTTTGTGGAATGATTGAAAATTAGGAATTATTTTCAATTAATTAACATCTGATTTCATTTTGCTGTTTCTGATACATTCCAATTTAGATTCAAACCCGTAATTTTCTTAATCAATTTAAACATGTTCTAAAATTGGATTAGTGGATTAGAGAAAATTAGAGATTTCATGTTCCATTCGTTTAGGCTGTTTATTTTTTTCTTTCATTTTTTTTCGGTTTTATGTTGCTTTTGTTTTAATTGGGAAGGGGTAGGGAAAGAGGGTATGGAGTGGTGTGAGAGAGTACTCCGCTAGTCATAAGCTCGGGGGCTAAAGTGCCTTTATGCACGTGCAATTAGAACATATATATTTTCTTGGCTTTACTTCTTCCATTCGTTTAAGCTGTTTATTTTTTACTCTCGTTTTTTTCCGGTTTTTTGTTGCTTTCGTTTTAATTGGGAAGGGGATAGAGGGTACGGAGTGGGGTGAGAGAGTACTCCACTAGTCATGAGCTAGCGGGCTGAACGTGCCTTTGTGCACGTGCAATTAGAACATACATATTTCCTTGGCTTAACCTCTTCCATTTGTATAGGCTGTTTACTTTTTTCTCTCGTTTTCTTTTTCGGTTTTTTTTTCGTTTTAATTGGGAAGGAGATAGGGGTTAGGGAGAGAGGGTACGGAGTGGAGTGAGAGAGTACTTCGCTAGTCATGAGCTCGGGGGCTGAACGTGCCTCTGTACTATACATATTTTCTTGGCTTACCTCTTCCATTCGTCTAGGCTGTTTACTTTTTTCTCTCGTTTTGTTTTTCGTTTTTTTTTTCATTTTAATTGGGAAGGGGATAGGGGTAGGGAGAGAGGGTACAGAGTGGGGTGAGAGAGTACCACTAGTCATGAGCTCGGGGAACATACATATTTCCTTGGCTTTACCTCTTCCATTCGTTTAGGCTGTTTACTTTTTTCTCCCGTTTTTTTTTTCGGTTTTTTTGTTGCTTTTATTTTAATTGGGAAGGGGTAGGGAGAGAGGGTACTGAGTAGGGTGAGATAGTTCTCCACTAGTAATGAGCTCGAGGTCTGAAAGCGCAATTAGAACATACATATTTTATTGGCTTTACTTCTTCCATTCGTTTAGGCTGTTTACTTTTCTGTCTCGTTTTTTTTTTCGGTTTTTTGTTGCTTTCGTTTTAGTTGGGAGATAAAATTGATGTTATTCATCAATCTTTAAATGTCTTCATTTTAGTGCAGTGTTACAGTTGTTGATTGTGAGTATGTTCTGTTCACCAGTTTTCACAGTTTGCTGCATGCAATTTAGATGTTATTGATTATTAAGGTCTTAACGATAACATCGTGTGAGGTTTTCTAAGAAAGTAGTGTTACAGCTATGCAACTTTTTAACTGTTCCTGGTCTTGCACATTCGTTGATATACTCACATGCGTTTAAGTTCTATAGATTTTTAAGGCCTCTAGCTAGACAAATACAGTTAAACTTCTATAAATTAATACAGATGGGACCATCAAAATTTCATTAATTTAGCGAAATATTAACTTATCAATAAATTAATAATTATTAATTTATACATTAATTAATGAATTATTAGTTTATGAAATTACTTTTATTATTAATTTCAATAAATACATTTTTTTTACGTGTGTATTATTCATTGTACCATTAGTTCAATGCATTATAGAGTCCGTTTCACAAACGGAAGCTCTTATAATAGCAATGATATAGAATGGTTTTATGTTGAGTTATGAGAAAACTATACCGAAAGTTCTAACCTTGTTAAGAAAAGTGATGGACGAGATTGATGGTAATGTGAACTTCAACAAGAAACAAGCAACAATTAAATTATATTGTATTAAGTTTTCATAGATTTATAAAATATGTACTATACCATGTAATTTAAGAATTATTTTTAGAGTAAAAAGCAGTTTACCTCCTAAACTATGACCCGTTTTGCACTTTACCCCCTAAACAAATTTTTTTTGCACGTTTTTACCTAAACTTAATCTTTTGTTGCACGGTGCCCTAAAAATGCAATTTTGACCGGAATCTTACACCACATGCCATTCACGTGAGTTTGGCAGGGTCAAAAGTGTATATTCCCCTACATTCATCAAACTAAATAAAAAAGAAAGAAAAAAAACAAATAATAATAATAATAATAATAATAATAATAATAATAATAATAATAATAATAATAATAATAATAATAATAAAAGAAAAGAAAAGGAGCAAAAATCTGCAACCCCTCTTCCTCCTTCCTTGAGAAAAACCTGCACCCTCCTCCTCCTTCATCGAGAAAAGCCTGCAAACATGAGAGAACCAAAATTGTCTACTAGTATCGCCGCCGTAGAAAACCTGCTCCGAGTGACTTTTCACCACCAACTCAAAGATGGAAGCTATATAATTATACTTTATTTGAACTAAATTTGGAGAATTTTTGGAAATGACAATTTGAGATTTCCTTTGACCATTAACACTGCTCCCGTTCTCCGCCGGCAAACTCGACGCTGACGCCGATGCCACCTCTGCCGGCAAACCCTGCAACTTTATCCTCCACAAAAAATGCTACCAATCGCCACAACAATTAAACCACCCCGAGAATTTGGGGAAAAACAAGAAATTCTTTCACCGGAGAAATTGTTCCCTGCCCCTAAATCTCAACAAGGTAATTTGCCTCATGACTATTCTCCGTCTCCTCTGCCTCAGCCAGGGCGACAACACCGTCGCCGCCCTGGCCGTTCTCGCCGCCATGGCCGTTCTCTCTCTTCTCAATTAATTCTACCCTTTTTTCAATTACTGCTGCTTTATACATTATTTATTTATTTATTTATTTATTTATTTTCTCCATTGAAATCATGATCAATATGTTTCTGGTTGTTGACTTTAGTGTATCGATTCTTTTTGTGGGATCAGATGTCTATTTTGTTGAGATTCAATAATTCGTAATCTAAAACATATATAAGAATGAAAAGGAGAAAAATAATAAGAACAAAAACAAGAAAGATTCTTTTAAGAAAATGAGGTTTTGAGCTTTGAGTTGATTTTTTGAAATTTGAGTTGAGATGTTTTTTGGCTGGGGCTTGGGGATGGCTTGGGTTTGCGAGGATGGTGAGTTACAGCTTTTCTTGTATTTTTTTTTTTTTAGATTATTTATTTATTTATTTTATTATACTATTAATTTATATTTAATATATAGGATGTATGTGAATGGACAAATTTATCCCTGCAAATCTCACGTGCACTGCACATGTTTTAGAATTCCGGTCAAAATTGCCGGAAAATTTAGTTCAGGGGGAACCGTGCAACGAATAAATGAGTTCAGGTAAAAACGTGCAAAAAAATTTTGTTTGGGGGGTAAAGTGCAAAACGGGTCATAGTTTAGGGGGTAAACTGCTTTTTACTCTTATTTTTATGCATTATTAATTTATATATTATATGGGGCTTCTTAACTTTTTCGAAAGTGTATTATCTTATAAATTTAGCGAATTATTAATTTAGCACGTTGTCCCCGAGTCGGGACCGGAAAAATTTATTATTTAAGCGAGATTATTAATTTATCAAGTATTAATTTATCGAGGTTCTACTGTAATTGGTTTATTTATTTAGACACTTCTTTTTTTCTTTTTTTGTTTCTTGCGTTTTTTTTAAACGAATAAGGTTAGGGGTGGAGATGATGGTGTCTTATTGAATTGTATGATTAGAGACAATTTTCACCCGAAAGAGGTTAGAAGAGCTGAACCTAGGGGCTGAACGTGTCTTTGAGCACGTCCAATTAAAACATAGATATTTTTAGGCCTTGTTTTTTTTTCATTTTTATGTTGCTTTCCTCGGTTGGAGATGTTCTGATTCTAGTTTCATTTGTTTGCATTAAAACAAACGATTATGATATGATTTGTCCGGTTGAACCGTAGAGTCCAGAATCGGATTTTGATAAAAATGCTAAAAAAACTTATAGAGAAAACTTTGGCAAAGCAAGTTTAAAGTAGATGAGAATTACTGACCCGTTTTTTCGAGTAGGTCACGAATAATAGAGCACTGCACCACACCAACTAGCAACGAACAATAAGCTCTGCATAAAAAACATTTACAGATCAGACATTGATTTAAAATAAATGAAATTTCAAAGAGTTAGATAGAAACCTTTAGGGCACTTTTTGTCGTAAGCCCAATTTGCTTTAGTTGTCTAGCTTTCAACGAGAATGCGTATATAAATAGCCGATTCTCAAGATCATTTCCCCCTGCTCGTTTTTTTTTTTCCAAACTTGCTACTTCTGGGAAACCTTCTGCAAAATCAAACAAAAATCGGATTAAAGGAACTTCCAAGTAGATGTTTAATGCTTCTTATCCGTAGTCCAAATAGTGTAATAATTTATATACTATTTTATCAATCAATTCAAATAAGATCTTGATATATTTATCCGGCTACAAAAAAAGTTCATTCCCATAATCCAAACGTCAATTTTTCAATTGTTAAACAAACTCAACAGGGCGATCGTTACTTAATCAATCAAATTTTATCAATCACATCCCTAAAACCAAAAGAGCCCCATAGTAAAGTAAGGCCGTCCGAAAATCTTATCATACTTACCTGTAATATGAACTTACAAAAGCAATAGGAGCACTCCTTTATACTGATTTATTCGTCACACCTAGCTTTAAATTCATGATCTGAAAAATAAGATTATTAGATATAAAAAATGAACAACAAAAAATGGTTCTTCGTTTTCGATGGGAAGACAAACCATTCGGTAATTTGATTCAAAATCTACAATTTAAACAAACAAACAAAAAAACAGAACAAATATTTTGACAATTCAGATCACTCTATTTTTTTAGGTCGAACAATTTCCGCAGAAAAATAGCCTGCAAACAAACCCTTTCAAAAGATCGAGTCAAAAATCAACATACAACTATATTCATAGTTAAAACATTATATTTTTTTTAATTTGCAACTTACACTAAAATTGGAACACATATTTGTACGATTCAGAATAGTCTAATTTTATAAATCGAACAATTCACACACAAAAACAGATTTAGAAACATACCTCAAAATTAGAGCCATAAACCATGACTAATCTGCTGGATTAAACTATTTCATCTAAAAAGACTATATTTTTCATAAAATTGCAGCCAAAATTTTACCATTGTAGATCAACAATCAACACTAAAAACAGAACAACAGTTCTTATGATACCGAATATTCTAATCTCCGCAGAAAGCTAATATGAAAAAACCTACATTTTCAAAAAAAACATAGATTTTTTTTTTTTTGTTTTTTTTGGACTCGGAAACTAACAGATCTGACGATTTAAACAAGAAACTAAATATTATTTTTGCAATTTGGAGCTCCCATATAAAGATTTACACTAACAACGCAAATATTAAACAAAAAAAAAAAAAAAAAAAAAAAAAAACCCTCTCAGTCAAAAAAGAAAACTTTTTTTTTTGTATAGTTTGAACTCTGAAACCAACGGATCTAACGATTTGCACAAAAAAATACGTCTTTCACATATAATTCAAAAAACAAAATAATATTTTTATAATTTGGGATGCAAACTGCAATTAACCCAAATAATATTTTTTATTGACTAGATTTTCTGATTCAATTGCCCTAAAATTTGACACATACATCGGCTAGACCTAGATAAAAGCGATTTTATTTTTGTCTATTGCTTTCGTTGATTTAATTTAGGGTTAAATACAAAAACACCCATGTACTATGGACTTTGTATCATTTACCCCCTGTACTACACATAAATACAAAAAACCCCCTGCTATTATATTTTTTCCAAAATCGGACGAAAATACCCCTACTAAACCTATAAATATAAAGGTTTGTTTGAGCCATTTTCCACTATATTTTTTAACATTTTCGGTCAATTTTACTTGAGAAATTTTTATTTTTTTATTTTTTCCTTCAAAACATTTAATTACTTAGATTTCTTTTTAAATTTTCTGAATAAAAACCTTTTATTTTTGTCATTTTGAATTTCTTCATTTTTTTCTTAAATGTCTTCCGGTAGTTACGTTCAAATTCTCAACAATAATAGGATTGTAAAGATGTTTGTAATCTTAGGATGTTTGAACTACCGGAAGACATTTAAGAAGAAAAAAATGAAGAAACTCAAAATGACAAAAATAAAAAGTTTTATTTAGAAAATAAAAAAATGTAAGCAATTAGATGTTTTGGAGAAAAAAGTATAAATACTAAAATTTTCAACGTAAAATTGACTGAAAATGGTAAAATATATAGTGGAAAATGACTCAAACTATATATATATTGAGTAGGGGTATTTTCGTCATATTTTGGGGAAAAATGCAATGTGAGGGGGGTTTTTGTATTTATGTGTAGTACAGGGGGGGTAAATGATACAAAGCCCATAGTACAGGGGTGTTTTTGTATTTAACCCTTTAATTTAGTTTTTAATATTATGCTTTTCATTTTTTCTTTTCTATTTTAATTCTTTTTTGGTACCTTTTCACTATCCTCTATTTAATTTTTATTTATTTAAAATCAAAAAAACACTTAAATATATTTTTGTCATAATCAATTTTCAAAAAACAATTATAATAATTTATAACCGATGGGCCATAACCCAATAACTACAAGACTAGACCAAATATAATAATTGGAAACTCAGCCCACAGACCAATAATAACAAATTCAGCCCAATACATATGTTGTCGCCCACAGAGGCTTTTATCCTAATTAATTAAATTATATTATCCACGTCATTTCAAGACCAACAACATGTTAGAGTGAAGCAGAAAAATAGAAACATCTACACATTATAGTATAAGCTCATAATTTATTACAGATAAATCAGCAGAATGACTTTCCACATATGAAGTAACTGATGTATTGTTCGAGTATTCGACGTACGAGAATCGTGTATGTTTTTTCCGACGGGTGAAAACTGTCCCAAAACACATAATCATTCACATTCGAACATGCGTATCTGCAAACAAGTGACACTTCTACTAACCCTGTTCCGCAACATCCCCTATCTGCAATCTTAAATCCTGTCACGCAAGAATATCACATTTCTTATCGTAATTATAAAAAATAAATAAATACATTGATTCAAAAAAAATTATAGTCAAAAATAAGAACAACATGTACGAACCGTATTTTTGTGGGTTGAGAATGATATCAAGAGTAGGATTGTAGGCATCGAAGTAGACAATTCTTGCATCGGTGAATCGTGTGTTGAGAGAGGTTATTGCGGCCGACAGTTTATTGTTGAATAATTTTGCGATTTCATTATATTTGTCGACACATTTTCTATCAAGTCCTCCCTTGAGAGTTATTTGTGATGGCGCACATCCAATTGGCGGCATGCTAAATACACCAATTCTACGTGCCCCCAAACGGTACAACTCCTTCAGTTGTATATAATTTCACGTAAATTGATAATTAGTTTCTTACGAATCATTTGCCTAATGATCGAGCTTAATGAATTGGATATCAGATGAAGTATTATATAATCAATTGATTTTTTAATTACCTGCACGAAGCTGGAAGCGTAGCTCACTAGTAAGTCCGTGTACGAAGGAACATCGTATTGAAATCTTCGCGGTGTAAGAAAATACGTATTCAAAATGTCATTGCTGCCGGTGGCCACTGCAATTATACTTTCCCTCAAAATGGCGGATGATTTTTCCTCTCCGGCAATCTTCTTCAGCTTCGCTATGTATTCTTTGAACATCTCTAATTGGTCCGATAACGAAAATACAGACTGCAATAATATTTAAGACATCAATTTTATTCAGACACAATATAATGTAATCCAAAAACATTGTAACTTTGAAGAATAAAAGAAAAACGAATGAAAATTAAAGAAAATACGGCGGGATCGGATGTCAACGGGTCATATCCGGAAGCTCCAGACGCAAAGTTGACACCGGTTAATAAATCTTGATCTTGGAGAGATGGATCAAGATAAGGTGGCAAAAGTGGTTTAATTCCCAATTCTTTGGCTGCAAATTGAAGTAAATACGTATATACAAAAACATGAATTAATTGGAATTGGATAATTAAGAGATATTTAATTATTATATGTGCTAGCTAGAATGAAATATCAATGAATTGGGTACGTACCGAAAAGATCCGACGGAACTTTTCCGTCAGAAAATCTTCCGGTGGGCTTTCCTTCAATGAAATTCTTGCCATAGGGGCGGAAATTGCATTTAGCAACCGTGGTTATGTAATTATTGTTGCCGGTGTCAACTATGGAGTCTCCGAAGAATAGAACTGCCGGGATGGTGGCGTTTTCCGGTAGATCTATCAATACTGCTCCGGCGAATGAATTAAACAAGACAAACAGAGGAAATAGTTTCAAGCACATGAATAAAATCATTTTCATAGATTTACTGTAGAGAGCTGCCTTCAAGTCAAGATATACTCATAACGGAGCAAGCTGTATCGATAGCTGACCTTGCCTAACATGTGCCAGCTTTTTTTTTCATGAGTTGCTAATTATTTATTTATTCTGTTGGAGATATAATAAATATTAAATGATTCACCTACTAATAGTTTAAGGCTTCATAGTTGACCATAATAGTTTTTAATTCGAAATTTTCTATTTTTCATATACGTCCATGCGTTGTTATTCCATTTGTAATATACATAAATATCTAAAAAAATATATTTAAAAAAAAAACAAGATATATAGTGTATAAATTACCGTATTTTTGCGGGCTTTCAATGATATCAAGAGGAAGATCGTAAAAATCTACGTATACCATCTTTGCTTCAGGGAATTGTGTGTTGAGAGAGGCTATTTCAGCTGACAATTTATTGTTGAATAATTGCGCGATTTCATTATATTTATCGACACATATTCTTTCGAGTCCTCCCTCGACAGTTCTTTGTGATGGCAAGCCAAACACACCAATTCCACGTGCCCCCAAAATCGTACAAGTCCTTCAATAATCATAGTATCTACACAATTAGAAGCACATTACATATATAATCTTTAGCCTTAATGAAATAGCTAATTAGTTCGCCAATGTATGTTTTTAGTTCTCCAATCATTCTAAATACAATAATAGTACCGTAATGTTAATTACCTTTGCGAAGAAACATCGTTCCGAAGATGCCTTATATTGAAATACGTACTCCAAACGCCGTTGGCTGCCAGTGGCCACTGCGAATACACTTTCCCTCAAAATAGTGGACGATCTTTCCTCTCCGCCAATCTTCTTCCGCTTTACTATGTTGACCGGCCCCGGTTAATAAATCTTGATCTTCGAGAGATGGATGGAGATAAGGTGGCAAAAGTGGCTTGATTCCCAAACTCTTCAACTGCAGAGTAAATATAAAAACATGAATTAATTGGATAATATAAAGAGATATTTATATTTATACACACTAATTCACTCAAATAATGAACAGGTAGGTACCGAAAAGATCTGCCGGAAGTTTTCCATCGGAAAATTTTCCGGTGGGCTTCCTTCCCGTGAAATTCTCGCCATACCATAGCTAATGTGGTAATGTAATTATTATTGCCAATATCAATTGCAGATTCTCCGAAAAATAAAACTGCTGGAATCGTAACAATTAGATTAATCATTGATCCAATACAGATCAATCCAAAAATCCACATTTTGAAAAGAACAAAAAAAACCGAGTGGTAGGATTACCGGACTATGGCGGTTGAAATTACGGCGGCGATCGAGGAGGCGCTGAGCGAATTCCGGCGTCGATTTTACCAACACTTTCAGCTTATAATCAACCATTGTTTTTACAGTTTCCATTTGCAGAACTTTGAAACCCTTGGCCAAAAACACCCTGTATTATTTCAGGCTTAATCTCTCTTTCACCCATGAAATATATTATTTTTCACTTTACACCCCCAACAATATTTAATAGCATTTTGCACCACCTAAACACAATAAATCATCCACAATAGACCTCGTATTTGATAAGAATTAAAAGAGGGCATCATCGTCTTTCTAGTGGATTTTTCTTTTTTGTTGTTGCAAAGTTCGAATCGAATAATTATTTCATGTATACATCAATCTAATTTCGAGCATACAAAGTGCAAAATAAATAAATATCTCATTAAATGTGTATATATATATATATAAATCAACAAATTGCCTTTCCACATATGAAGTAATGAATGTATTCCTCGACAACTTGACGTGCCAGAATCTGGTACGTTTTTTCCGTCGGGTGAAAACCGTCCCAAAACACATAATCATCCACATTCGAACATGCATATCTGCAAAGAATCGATGCCTCAAATGTGCCCGTTCCGCAGCATCCCTTACTGGAGATCTTGAATCCTGTCGTGTATATATCCACGCACAAATATATCAAATTCGTTATCGTAATTATTGGAGAATATAAATAGATCATTCGAAAAAAAAATTGAGGTTACGTACGTACAATTAAACCTCGATAAATTAATATTGTTTTATTAATTGATCGATGTTCTACTGTATATGATAAATTCAATACCGTATTTATGTGGGTGGCGAATGATATCAAGAGGAAGATTGTAAAAATCTACGTAGACGATCCTTGCATCACGGAATTGTGTGTTGAGAAAGGTTATTTCGGCCGATAGTTTGTCGTTGAATAATTGCACTATTCGATTATATTCGTCCACGCATTTTCTTCCGAGTCCTCCCTTTTGAGTTCTTTGTGACGGCAGACATCCGATCGGTAGCATGCTGAAAACGCCAATTCTACGTGCCCCCAATCCGTACAAGTCCTTTGAGTTAATCGTATAGTAGTTCACGTAAACAAATTAGTATCGAAACAAAACATTTTTATGGGATTCCTGGAGCAGCGCCCACGATTTATTTTTTTAAATGGGCATTCTATGTATACTTTAATTAAAATATGATATATCTAATAAATTAAATTTTCTTGAATTTGGAATATAAGAAAAACTATATGTTTTACATACCTGCACAAAAGTGGAAGCGTAACGAACTAGGAGGTCAGTATACGAAGGAACGTCGTACTGAAATTGTCTTACGTTAGAATACGTATTCCAAATGTCATTACTGCCACTAGACACTGCAATTATACTTTCTTTCAAAATATCGGACGATCTTTCATCTCCGACGAATCTTTTACAGCCTTACTATATAGTCTTTAAACATTTCTAATTGGTCCGATAGCGACAACACCCACTACAATATTTCGACATCGTTAATTCAAAAAAACAAACATAAATAAAGGTTCATATATATATATTTATTAAAATAAAAAAAAAAAAGATAATAAGAACTACCAGGAGATCTGAGGTTAAAGGGTCATATCCTGAACCCGCAGACGCAAAGTTGACCCCGGTCAAAAGATCTTGATCTCGAAGAGATGGATCGAGAAATGGAGGCGAAAGCGGTTTAATTCCCAACTCTTCGGCTGCGATGCAATTAATATAGACAATATTAATGATCAATTTGAAAACAAATTGGAACAAATACATATTAATTAATTTACATATATATAAATTGAACTATGTATATATTTACCAATAAAGTCCGGTACGATTTTTCCGTTGGAAAATCTTCCGGTGGGATTTCGCCCGATGAAATTCTCGCCGTAAGGGGGGAAATTGGCTTTAGCTAAAGTCGGAATATAATTATTATTGCCGGTATCAGTTATGGAATCTCCGAAAAATATCACCGCCGGAATACTAGTGTTTTCCGGTAGGTTTATCACTGCTCCGGTAGATGAAGTATTAAACAATAAATACAGAGTAAATAGTTTCAAGCACATGAAAACATGCATTTTCATAATTAATTCTTCTGTAGAAAGCTGCCTTCATGTGAAGACATATATACATATATATATACACTAATGGAGAAAGTAGTTTTGAAGTTGTTGAATTTATGGGAATATTACGACCAGCCCCCTGAGATAAGGTCAAATTACAAAAAAAATCCCTTATGTTTCAGTAATTACAACCACCTCTCAATTATGTATTGTCTTATCAAAAAAACACTTCTTTAATAGGTAAATTGGACTTTGTAAGGGTGAACGTGTAAAACGAACTGAAAAAAAAAAATTCGTAATTTGACATTATGTCATAGGATTGGCTGTAATTTGCCCTAAATTAATTCACTATACGTATAGCTAACTTTCTATTAATTAATTAATGTAGCAGCGAGCTATTAGTAGCTTCCCAAAATTCCCCAAATTTTGGGCAATCTCCAAATCAATTCTTAGGAGCACTCTACTAAATTCCTACAATATTTTAGGAATTTAATAAGGGAGAGCATTTGCAACGGATGCTCTATTAATAAAGGAAAAACATACTCCAATGGTTGAATGCCACATGTAACTATTTTACAAGAATTGGAGCACCACACATCATCACACTGCAACCGATGGTAGCATATTAATATACTTAATTACTCTAATTAATAATAGTGTGTCGAAATATGAATTTATTTGAAATATTAATTAATTAAGAATTTGTTTGTAAATAATGTGAACACCTAAACCCGAAACCCTAAATCTGAAAATCGAAACTCGAAACCCGAAACTCGAAAATCCGAAACTCAAAAGCCAAAACCCCAAAATTCCTGGAACCCTAAACCCAAAACCTGAAAACCCAAACTCCAAAACCCTAACCCCGTAATAAAAATTATGTAATCAATAAAAGTTTAAAAAAGAAAAGATTGATATTACTCACTCCGTCCCAATTTAAATGACGTTTTGAGTTGTTGCACGCATATTAAGAAAATCAATAAATGTGTATAGATTATAGTGAAAAGTATAGGAAAATACTAATATATCCTTGACATTAATTATTTTACAACTAACTAATTAGGAGTGATAAAGGGTAAAATTGAAAATAGTACAATTAATGATGCATTGAAAATCTAAAATGACAAATAATTTGGGACAAAAAAAACTCTCTAAAAAAACATATAATATGGGACAAAGGGAGTATAATTTAGCATCAATAGTCCAACTTTTGTCCACGTGTTTGTCAATCAAAGGCATCCGATTATCTCACTCAAACGGAGAGTCCGTTTTTAATTTATTCTCATTTAATAATATATTTTAACAATTTTAATGTAAGAAGATCTAATAATAGAATTAGATCTTATATTAAAATACAGGGATTATTAGCAATATCCCATCATCTAGGAAATGTAATTAAGGAAACCTCCTCCGAAAAATAATTAGAGAAAACCCCCTTAGTTAGTATTCCACCAAATATTATTTTTATAATTTCAAATCTACCCTTATTTGTCAATGTATTATTTTAAAATTCTAATTCCATGACGAGCAAATCCTCTCCCAATTCCACGACGAGCAAATCCTCTCCCAATTCCACGACGAGCAACAGCAGAAGCAGTGGCGGCGGAACAACCGCACCGGCGAGGTGGATTTGGTTTGCGATGCCGCGGAGTCGTGCTGCGGCAGCAACTTCGACGAAATCGACCGGCGCGGGCTAGCATTGGCGGAGAGCGCTGCATCGGACGGCGCAAACATCGCCAGAGACGGATGCATTGCAGCGGCGGCGAGCAGCAGGATGTGCCGGAGCTGCGGGAAAGAGGAATCATGCGTGTTGCTTTTGGGATTAAATTAAATTAAATTAAATTAGTTTTCTTAATTGGTGGAGCTGAACATGCTCAAAATCCGATGGGTTCGGCCATGGCAGGAGCTCTGGGTGGTGTGGGGACGATGGGGAGCTTTGTTTTTGGGTATTTTTGTGGATGAACGGAGGACGGTGCGTGTAGATAATTTCGCGCATGCTGAAACCTAAATCGACTATGTACATGTTCATAGTCGATTAAGCTAATCGACTATGTTCTGGTATTTTATTAAGGTTGATCGACTCCTGTTTTTTTATTTTTTTGGATTTCTTGTTTATTGATTTCAATTGTATAAATCATTTATAACGTTTGTATATTTTTCGTTTTTTGTAAAATATAGTTGATTTTGCATTTTTTCGCAGTTGTAATTTGTTATGTTTAGTAGCAGATTCTTAATCGACTATGCTTCATCATAGTCGATTAGTATACCTGATATATAAAAAAAATAAAAAAAACAAAAAAAAAATTAAAAAATAAAGAATTTCCTTAATCGACTATGAAGCATAGTCGATTAAGGTTATTCAACTATGCTTCATAGTCGATTAAGGAAACTGATACAGAAAAGACGGAAAAAAAAATGATGAGCGCGTGACCCAGTGATGACGTGGCGGGCGGGGGCAATGCTGGAAAACATAATGGCTGAAAATGGGTGTGGACTTTTCTCAAATGGTCTAAAATATTTTTGGCCTATCCCCATTAAAAAAAGTAATGGAGGATTATGTCAAAGAGCCCCTAAAATATAAGAGTTTTTAATTCGAAAATAGACCAAGAGTTTTAAATTCGAAAATAACATTCAGGAATAAATTAATTTGTGCCTAAACAATAAGTTACAAGACAAGGGAACAGCACAATGAGTTAACTCAAAACTCAATTTTAACTTCATAAATCAGCATAGTGACTTCCCACAGATGAAGTAGTTCGTGTACTCCTCGAGAATTCGGCGTACGATAATCTTGTACGTTTTTTCGGTCGGGTGAAAACTGTCCCAAAACACATGATCGTCCACATTCGAACATGCGTATCTGCATAGATATATTACTTCTATCATCCCTGTTCCGCAACACCCCTTATCCGCAATCTTGAATCCTGTCACATATTTTTCCGGTACATTATATATATATATATATATATATATATATATATATATATATATATATATATATATATATATATATATATATTCGATAAAGTATTCAATAATTAGAATAAAACGTACGATTACCATATTTTTTAGGGGTTTGAATGATATCAAGAGTAGTGTTGTAGATATCCATGTAAACCATCCTTGCGTCGGGCAATTGTGCGTTGAGAGAGGCTATTTCAGCCGACAGTTTATTGTTGAATAATCGCGCGGCTTCGTTAGTTTCGTCCACGAATTTTCTTTTTAGTCCTCCATTGAGTGTTCTTTGCGACGGAAGGCATCCGATGGGCGGCAACCCTAGAACACCGATTCTTCGTGCCCCCAAACGATACAACTCCTTCAATCGTAGTTCACAAATTAAAATCAGAATCATCAAAAATTATATTGTGGGACCACGGCCCCTGCCCTTCTTTACTTACACCCGTTGTGAGTACGGAACATTTTAATTACGTACCTGCACGAAGGAGGAGGCGTAGTTGACTAGTAGGTCCGTGTAAGAATGGACGTCGTACTGAAATTTTCTTAAAGGAGAAGTGAAATATGTATTCGCAATATCGTTGCTTCCGGTGGCTAATGCAACTATACTTTCCCTCAAAATGTAGGACGCTCGTTCCTCACCGGCAATTTTTGTCAGCTTTGCTATGTACTCTTTGAACAATTCTAACTGTTCGGGCAACGGCAACGGTGACTGCAACATTTACACATCATTAATACAAATTCTTGTTACGACTAACAAAACGGGCCAATTACAATGTTATATATACCGCGACAAGCGACGTTTGTGGGTCGTATCCGGAAGCTCCGGACGCAAAGTTGACTCCGGTCAATAAATCTCGATCCCGAAGAGACGGATCGAGATAAGGAGGCAAAAGTTGTTTAATGCCCAACTCTTCAACTGCAAATATTTGGTAACAACATTTATATTAAGGATATATATATATATATATATATTTGTGTGAAATGTATTTTTTCGCATGCATGTATGTACCGATAATGTCGGGTGGAACTTTTCCGTTAGAAAATCTTCCGGTGGGACTTCCGCCAATGAAATCCTGGCCGTAAGGTGGGAAATCGCATTTAGCTAATGTGATAATATAATTGTTATTGCCGGTGTCGACTATCGAATCTCCGAAAAATATAACTGCCGGGATCGTAGCGTTTTGGGGTAGTTTTATTACGGCTCGAGCAAATGGAAGAAAAAGTAGAGTAATTAACACGACAGACAAATTAAACGACATAGTTTCTTACCAGCAAAAAAAATGTAATTGTTGATTGCAAGATCTAATGCATTATATTTCTAAGTATTGTATTAATTAATTAATTAATTAATTAATTAATTAACTAACTAATTAATTAGCTGACTCTATGAGTTCTTTAGTACTAAAACAAATTAGAGGATGCTTTATCATTAATTTAATAAGGATGTGAGTATAAATCAGCTGGAAATTAAATGCCAGTTCATCTGACCATAATAATACTAGTTTGTTTCATAATATCTGTCACTTCTGAAAAAATAAATTATTTTATTTTATCTGTTACTCTAAAGTTACAATACTGCATTAATTAAATAATTTTCAATTTTACTTTTATTAACTCTCATCTATTAATTAGTGGACAAGGTTATTTCAGCCTAATAGCATACATTTTTTTTTAAATCAAGTCATATTTAATACGTTCTTTAATCCTCATGCAAATCTAAAAAACGACAATTATAAGTAACATTTTGTATATAACTGGTGGATTTGGCAAGATAAGTTGCACCATGGTAAAGGTACCGAGGTTGGTGTCGGGTTACTGGTTCCGTAGGCGATTTTAATGGTCGTGATACCATTTTTTTAAATATAATTCACAAATACGTTACAAATTACGGGAGCAGGGTATGTTAAATCAACGAGAAAAATAAATCGAGACGTAAACACGAAAAGCTCATAATAGGATGGAGCATAAACACAAACCTAGCTCGAAATAGAGTTCAACTATTATGCTCTTTTATTAAATAGAACTCGTTAAAATTACAAGGGTAGAAAAAAAGGGATTTATTATACTATAGAAACGCAATTAGAACACTATTAATTAGTAATAAGAATTAATTTCAAA